TATTGCTAATCATCTCTTCTAGTGTCTTAGGATACTTCTAAGTCTAGTACAGGTAATTCTTGTAAAGAATAAACTATTTGTTAAGCCTGGCTAATACAAAAAGGACAATAGGTTAAATCTTCCCTATGGCTGGCTTATCATAAAGCTCCTTATAATATCTAGGAGGCTATTGAATTTAAATTCTATTTTTAAATATTTATTCCTTATTTTTAGTTATTTTTATTTATTTTATTTTCCTTTAAATAAAAGATCTTCTACTTGACCCTCATTACTTTAAAATTTACTACAACTTGATAGTTTTTAGTAAATTTTATTACAGTATTAATTTTATTAAATTATAGACTCAGATTTTTAACTTAATCTTAAAACTAATTTATTTATAAAATAAATCTTTTAAAATTTTTTTTATATTTTTATTTTATAACTAATCTAATAATATTATAATCAAAACTAATACTTGTAATCTGAACTAATCATTAAATTACTATATTCTTATAGAGTTTATACAATTTTAATATTTTTTTTTATAATCTTATTAATGCTTTGTTTATTCTTATAAGTTCTTTTATATTACTAATTCAATAAACTCTACATAATGTAATTTCATGTTCAGTTTAATTAGCAACTAGGTTGATAAACTCTTTTATTTAAGATTCTTATTTGTAAAGATTATTTGCTTCAGATTTTTTTTTTTAGATTAAGGTTTTTATAAATAATACTGTCAAAGATTATACTACTTCTTTATTTAGGATTCTAAATAAGACTTCTTATAAAGTATATATTTTCTAAATTTATTTATATAATATTGTACACTTAGAAATTAGGTTTAGTATAACTAGAATTATAAAATTATAACTCCAAATACTCCAATTAAGATATTAGAATAAAACTATTTTTTCAAAATTCTATTACTAATAAAATTTAAACTTTGAAGCTATTATTTAGAGAATAATAACTTAACTATTATACTAGAATTAATATTCTTTTTTTAAAAAACTTTATATAACCTAAATTTAAAATATTATATATATTAATCTTAAATTATATTTTAATTCTAAAAATAATAAAATATTGATTATTTTCAATTATTATAATTATATTTCAAAACTGATAAAAGTCTATAAAACACCTTCAAAAGAATAGATAGATAAACTGAATAACAAGATATGTAGAAAAACATATAACCAACTAGATTACTAGAATTATTAAAGGAAAAAAAATATATGTATATTATATCAAACTATCTAGATTGGAAGTTGAAAGAGTTTTATTGATTCTAAGTAATAGTTAGTAGAAAATAATGAAAAAGATATTACAATGATAGATACAGAGATTCTAATGAATTTTATAAGAATAAAAATAATATAACATAGTAATTAAACAGATAACCCTAGTAACTGCAAGTATTAAACAACTATAACAAGTTATATAAAACTAGGTTAGCTGTGTATAAGACACAAAAGATTCTAGTAAGTTTTCTGTTAAGAATAAAGTAATCTTAAAAGTCTTAAAAGCATCAGGTACTTTAGATATGTGTAACCTTAAAAATTTTACCATGATACAAGTTGGATTATATATGCAGAAGGTTTAAATAAGCAAGATCCATAGTTGGCTTGCAGGATTGACATCTAGTGTAAAACCTGTATAATAATGTATAGGCGGACTACTTAAATTAGGCACCAAAAGTGCATGTGTGACTAGTTTTAACCTCCTATGTATGGACGCCCCTGAAGGCATCCGTGTTCAAATACTTGAATAAAAACATCGATCCCTAAAGGCAGGGACTTTAACTTAAAAAAAAAATAAATAAAAAAATAATTATATTTCAATTTAAAAGTTAAAATTTCAAAGTTTTTTATTTTCATTTTTTTTATATCAAAAGATAATAAATTAGATAATTAATCTAAATAAATTTTAAGACCAATTTTTTTCTAAAAAGTTTTATATGAGCAACTGTTAGGCGTGCCAGAATACTGACCCACCCTTATACTCGAAATAGCGAGTGAGAACATTATTTCTAATTTTGGCCTGAATTAAGCCTAATTCGGGTCAAAATTAAAAATAGCGCTCTTGCTATGTCGGGAATTTACGGTACATATAAATTAATTGTTATTCGAGTTACTTGATGCTGAGAATTGACCCTATTTTGGTATGAAATTTTAAACTATCATCGGGAAATTTAAGATCTGATTAGAATCAATTAAAATCTAACGCTAAGGATTCATCACGACCAATTAAAATCGATGAATATTTTTATTTTAATTTAATCGACTTTTGTGGCATGTTGATTATAACCAACTCGATTATCAAAACCACCAGCGATAATCGTTTGACTATAATCGCATTAAAATAAAAAAACTGATCCTAATAAAGCTTGGATCCGTTTTCATATTATCAAATTACTGTGATCAGCAAATTTCATGTATCATACCAGGAATCTGGAAATAATGTCTGTATATGATTAGTTAAAAAATTATTTACACTGTTTTCAGAAAGGCGTGAACAACGACTTCCGTATACCTATGTAGAAGGACCAATTATATAGCGTTATCCCATACCTATGTCTGTTTGAAAACAGCTACGTATAATAGATTTTTTAGTTAATCGATATTGGTGTGCTACATGAAATTTGCTGATCACAGTAATTTGAAAAGCATGCTAAATTTAAAGGATAACTGATGGATTTTACCATCAAATTCAGTATCCAACGGATAACGGGTTCAAGCTCTGATTCTATAAACTCATTATTATATTCATTCAGATGACAATATACAATAAGAAAATTTTTATAGCGATAAACTTTGAATTGGAATTCTTGCATGTCTCAACTTATTTAAACAATATAGAACATTTTTTCCAAAAATAGGTTTATTATGTTTTTTTTCTAGTTCAAATAATACAATAATACCTTGAAGGGTATTCTTTAAAAGCAAAATAAGGAATTTTTTTTAAGAAAATTGTAAACCGGACATAATGAAATATCGATATGCTACAGCAAGTACGTATGTGCGACATATGACCTCGTTCCCGTGTTCTTGATGTAGTATAGAGTCATTGACCGCAAAAGTAAAATCATGGAATCCGTAGTCATGTGTAAATTCAAAGAAATAACGCCAAAACGGGTGAGGCTGTATAAAAAAGCGAGTAAACTCCTATAGTCAACGAATTCATGCGAAAAAAAATCACATCCCATTTTAAGCCCAAGTTCCAATTACAAAATATGATTCCTCAATTATTTCTTAAAATTCATAGGATAAAAAAAAGATAAGCCCATTTAACAAAGTTCTATATCGTTATTGAAATTGCCTTTATTTTGACTAATCTCGCCAAAGTCGCAGCCTTGATTCGAGTTGCCCACCTGTTTTCTTTTCGTTTTTTTTTCAGCCTCTCATTGATTACATGAAATTTTCCCGGTTTGGGCTGTGAACCTGACAAGTCACTAAGCTAACGCTAAATTCTTATATATGCAGTAACAATTAACAATTATTATGGCTTTAATAAATTTTTAAGAGCGTATTCTTATTAGAAGCTTATACGTAAAATAAGTATACATTGAAAAAATTTATTAACTCGACATCAAATATTGATATTTACTGGTTTATTATAGAGATCTTCAGGCTGATGGCTTTTTCGTGTCCCACAGCATATATTAAATATATTGAATATAACAATTTATTATTATGCCACATGCTAAACAAAAATGTCATATTGTAACACAAAAAAAAGGTAGACAAATTTAGTAGATAATATTAATGAAATTGGTAAACCCATTTGAAGATGAAATTATCGTAATTAAAAATGATAACGATTGCGAAGGCGAAATGAAGTTTTAAAAAAATTGGGTATTAAGTGTTCTTATCAGAACTGATCAATTTACACAGCATTCAACTTTGCGGAGAAAGGTAATAGATGATATTAGTGTTATGGTTAGGCAATAACTGATAGTAATCAAGTAATCATGAGTTAGTATGTGACCATGGGAAACTGTAGAAATAGATATATCTTGAATATCATGTTTAAGGCAAATTTAAATATTTATCATATGAAAATAAATTATCAGATTTCCCTAATATTACAAATATTACATGAAATTGAACCAACATTTTCCGAAATTATTGAACAAAAAATTAAGAATCGTTAAAAGACAATCATGTAATAAGAGAACAATATCATACCTATGAATTGTTGATTCGTGTTATATAGTTCATCGACTGAATCCGAAAGTTTTAACCCTTGCTATTGATCTATGTGACAGGTTATTTATAGCTTAGTTTGACAAGAACCATAATTTCGAGTTAAAATCTTCCCCAAAATTTTCTTTTTTGTAACGATGTTAATTTTTTTTAAGGGAATATGCAGGAATTTCTATAACCAAATTAATGAATGAATTTCCATAATAAGTAACAAACCAGTCATCCAGTTATAGAGCTGCACGCATTGCACTTGACAGAATGTGATAAAATTTCTGTTGACGCCCTTAACGTATTATGTTTTTAGGTTTGTACGTTCATTTAATACTTATTTTTCAAATTTAAAAGAATAATCTTACCATAATTATCTATTGTAATCAACTTGATCTTTTTGCATGTGGTCCTATTAATATGCCGATCTATCATTACAAAATGTCAACGCTTATTTTAACATAAGTAATTGTCGTTATCGTTTAATCTGTATTATATCTATAGAAATCAGTGATACTTTTAAAAAAAAAAACCATTTAAGTTATCGTATGTATTTATTGATATACTAAATTTCATATATTCAATATATCTGACAATTTATAATGTTTATGATATATATCTACATAGATATTGTTTAATATTTTAGATCAAGAATGATAACCAACTTTTTTCCATTGTTAGTCGACATATAAATTCGTTTTGGATGCATACATTTATCCACCTTAAATCTTAATCAAAGAAACGAGATTTATAACATCGCTGTTTTTCGACTAACGAACACTAACGAACGCGTTTATCCTAGTCTTCCTTCTAAAAAAAATGGACCCCAACAGATTATTCTCTCCTGTCGCTCATATTCTTCCTCCAATGTCTACTGCATACCCGACAACTGCCCCTCATTCCAATCTCCCGTTTCTTCAATTTTATCCATTTTTTATGGATTACCGATTTCCTGTATTGTTTGCTACAATATACGTCGTTTCTGTCTCCATTCTAAATCCAACTTCAAATAATGTTTCTCGTGTAGTAGCAATGCAAAAAGGTTTAAAACCATCATCGGTTAAAAAAAGTAGCTCTTCAATGACTACTTTTGTGTTTTTACATAATTTGTTTTTATTTATATTTTCCTTGGCTACCTTCGTAAATGTAACACCTGCCTTGGTGAAAAATTATACAACTCATAACTTTACTGACGCCGTAAGTAATAATGCTTCTACTTTTTGATATATATGTCTTTGCATTCATATACTTATAATTCACTTACCTTTTTCTAGTACTGTGACCGTGATGGAAGTTTCTGGGATAACGCTCTCGGCTATTGGGGATACCTTTTCTATCTTTCAAAATGTATGCCTGATTAAATCTTCTCTATTTTTAATCATAATTTAAGATTATTAAATATTTATCTTTCATATTTTTAGTTTATGAAGTAATCGATACCATAATAATTCTTCTAAAATCTCGTCGTTCCTCATTGCTTCAAACTTATCACCACGCTGGTGCGATGATAACAATGTGGGCTGGTATGAACTTCAGAGCCGCGCCAATTTGGATCTTTGTAGTTTTCAATTCTTTCATCCACACAATAATGTATGCTTACTATGCACTAACATGTATTGGTATAAATCCACCGGGCAAAAAATACTTGACTTCGATGCAAATTACCCAGTTCTTGATAGGAACTACAATCGCTTTTAGTTATTTGTTTGTTGATAATTGTTTGACAAATGATGGAACTGTATTGGCAACATGGATCAACCTTGTTTATTTATTGCCTCTGATTTATCTATTTGTGGATTTTGCAAAAAATACGTATAGTAAAAAGGTATTAACTAAGAAAGTGGATTAAAGTATATAAATATATAAGATTCAGTAGATTAACATACTTACGTACATACGCTCTTTATATAGTTATAAAAATTCTTTGATAGCTTAGTTTCTTATTCTTAATTTAATATCTCGAATCATAAAATAAAAAATATCCAACAAAATCATGCTAAAACTTATGTAATTGGGTTTACGTTCTGATCGGGTTCAAAATAGAAGCCTTTATGTTAAATCACGACATTTAATATAGGGCTGTTTATTGTAGTTACGTATCATCATTACATAGTTGTTATTAAAAATATACCAGTTAATATATCGATATTAATCTTGAAAACCCATTGAATATTACAAGACACGAGGCTTATTAGAACATGCGTTTAATATTGTTATTGAATGCTTGATCAATATTATATAATTCTTTTGGATTCGTATTAATTTGAAAATAGATAGAAACATTTAGAAACTTTAATATACTTAGAATTATCAAGCTTTTTTATAATCTCAAAAAAAACCCCCAATAGATATTAAATTTTCATATTAATTATTAGTTAGTCATATGTAATTCTTTTTTAAGTATAAAAGATTAAATTTTAACAAGTTAAATATATTTTTACATAGTTTGGGGAGTCCTATTGGTTTTGAGTAGCAGTTAGTAAGGGAAGATGAAGATGATGTTGGAAAAATAGGTACCAGGGTTTGGGTGAACTTTACAAAAATAAGTGATTTAATGGATAATCCTAACTATAAATATTGGTTCTGACTATAGCAAAAACCAGGTTAGTTGTAAATAGGAATATGGAAGACTCTGAAAGGTTTACCTTAAGAATAAAAATGGTCTTAAGGATTATAGTTCTAAAGTTGAAATGAGAATCCAGGTCTTAGATAACTTAAAGTTAATACAAAAATTGCAGATTAGAGGATCAAATAGAACATTCAAGTAGAAGTGTTAGATATAACAACTGATAAAAAACCTTTAAGCAGACTTCTTAAATAGGTAATATAAAAAAATTACACATGTAACCAGTTATACATTCTTCTGTAAAGTTTAATATATACATATGTTTATATAAACATATATTTGATAAAAGTGTTAATAAAGTTAAAAAACCAAAAAAAAATCTTTAAAAGTTTTGTTTCTTTTATTTTCTTTTTCTTGTTTTTTGCTGTATTAAGTATTCTCTTTTTTGATAATTTTTTTTTATTACTGTTTGGATTTTATTATATATAATGTTCTATCATTTGTTTAATTTATTTTATAAAGTCTTTTTTATATTTTTTGATTGTTCAAACTTTGTAACATTGTTTGTAATTTTTGTACTTAGATTTTCTTTTCCAATTGTTAGTTTATCTTTACTTTGTAATTTTCTGTAAAGGTTTTATTATTTGAAGTACTTTGTATATAATTTTGCTAATAAATATACTTAAAATTTTATTAAAGAAATCTTGCCAGGTTTAAATAATTTTTAAAAGTACATAAATTTAAGAAGAAAGTACATTAAAAATAAAAGCTTAGTTTACTCATAAGGCTTACTAATTTATCTGAAAGATTCTGACATATAATTAATAATAAATAAAGATAAAAATAGAAAATAAATATAAATTATTACAAATCAAAGTCAATCATTAATAC